ATTTTAAATCAACTGTGAAACAGTATTAATGATTTTTAATCCTCATTCAAAGTAGAAATCTAGTTAATGTCTGTTACAGAGTAATTATTCATTTTCTTGATCTTCTGTCTGAAATGAGCAGGTTGTAAGTCGGTCAAAAGTCGGAGACAAACGCAAACAAGTTTGTTGGAACGAACTGTCATGTTTTTAAATCCTCTCAGACGTAAATAGAGAAACTGGCACCTGTTTCCTCCCATCTCGCCTAAACATTTCTCTTGTCTGTTTCAAAAACATTTTTCTGTCTGTTCCAAAACATCGAACTGTTTTTCTGACTTCTAATAACCTCTTACATCACTAAGACCACACCCCTGTTGGTTCGTTTCGACCAATCAGGAAGTTCTCAGAGGAACCGGAACTGACCTCTTTAAAAGGGTCAACACTTCCTAGTTCCAAGTAGAATGCGGAACGCAGAACAACGGGAACTAAGCTGAACAATGTTCCAGAGAGAACCAGAGTTCCAGAGAAGTTGCTAATGGAATGATCAGAGTCCGTCGATGCCACGACGTCTCGCTGTGGCGCTACTCGACGGAAGCTCTGAACAATGAGGAAGTCTGTTCAGGGATGATCTCACGACTCCTGAGATCTCTGCTATCCTTACGGAGATGCTGGAAAGTGTCGAAAGAGAACTCTACACCGAGGCCGAACTATCGTCTGCAAAGGTAAAGAGTCGATCTTCAACTGCGAAGTGTACCGTGGGTTAAGCTGGGTCCAAAGGAGCGTGTCGTTTCTGGTTATAATAGACATATTCCCTCATCCATCTTTCCCTTTCCATTTAAACTCCTTCATTTCCCATCTTTAAAACTCTTCTATCTTGCCAGTAAATCATCCAGATATTTTCATAAATGTCTGTTGTAATTAAGCTGTGTTATTGCTTCAATCAGAATAATCACGTGTACAATGTTTGATGTTAAACTTTGATTCTGTTAATAAATGACCGCATTCATTTTGATGGATCAAAGAAAATTAACGTCTCACGTCACTGATCTCTGTCACATATCTGTCAAGTAGCTCGAAAAAGAGAGAACCCGTTTAAATTAAGTATAATATCAGGTACTTGAACTAGTCCAGATATTATAACATGTAGTGGAGCTCCGAAGCTAACGAAGCTAACCGACCTATCTCACTACACTTTTATCCCGGATAGAACACTGGGTTGGGATTACTGGTGCAGCGTTAGAATGGTTCCATTAATACCTGAGCGACAGGAGTTTCTGTGTTAATTTTGCTAACACTCTATCTACTTCTGTGCCTCTTTTCTGTGGGGTCCCGCAAGGCTCAATTCTTGGGCCCCTTCTGTTTTCTTTGTATCTCCTCCCCTTAGGGTCTATCCTGAGGAAACATGGTCTTTCCTTTCATTGTTATGCTGATGACTCTCAGATTTATCCGTCATTAACACCTAACAGTTCCTCCTCCATTCACCCTTTTTTTAAATGTCTTGATGACATCAAGACTTGGATGGCTGCAAACTTTTTGAGTTTTAATGTTCAGAAGACTGAGGTCATTGTGTTTAACCCTAGCTCTGCCACTGTCACTGATCCTGCAAACCTGGACTCCCTTCAGCCACATCTAAAACAGTCTGTTACCAATCTCGGGATAGTTTTAGACTCTGACTTTAAGTTTAATAAGCAGATAAATTCTGTTCTTCAAAAAAGCTTCTTTTAGCTAAGACAGATGGCTAAGCTCAAGTCTGTCCTGTTCAGATCCAACCTTGAAAAATTAGTCCATGCATTTATTACAACCCGGCTGGACTACTGCAACTCGCTTTATGCTGGGGTCAGTCAGGTCTCTCTCTCTCTCACGTCTCCAGCTCGTCCAAAATGCTGCAGCTCGCCTACTAACAGGAACTCACAGGTTCGAGCACATTACTCCATTTCTGTCCTCCCTTCACTGGCTTCCTGTGCGTGTCAGAGTTGATTTTAAGATTCTTCTGCTGACATTAAAGTGTGTTAATGGCCTTGCACCCTCATACCTCTCTGACCTCCTTCATCCTGATACTCCTTCTTGGGCCTTGAGATCATCAGACCAGCTGCTTTTGGCCGTACCAAAAACCAGCTGAAGCTCAGAGGAGATCGAGCGTTTTCAGTCGTGGGCCCTAAACTCTGGAACAATCTGCCCATCAGCATTCGACAGGACACCTCAGTCTTTGTTTTTAAATCTCTCCTCAAATCACATCTGTACTCACTGACACATCTGTACTCACTGACACATCTGTACTCATTGACACATCTGTACTCATTGACACATCTGTACTCACTGACACATCTGTACTCACTGACACATCTGTACTCACTGACACATCTGTACTCACTGACACATCTGTACTCATTGACACATCGGTACTCATTGACACATCGGTACTCACTGACACATCTGTACTCACTGACACATCTGTACTCATTGGCATTTAACACAGTGTGATCTCGTTTGGTATTTCATTGTTGATGATTGTGTTCATCCATTTTGCTTTTACTCCCTGACATTTAACACAGGGTGATTTGATTTAGTATTTCATTGTTTCTTATTATATTTCATGTTTTTATGCTTTTATTCATGTTGCTGTAATATGTTGTTATTAATATTTGATCCTGTGATCTTTTTTGGTAAGCACTTTGATAACAGTTACTGTTTTAAATGTGCTATAAAAATAAATGTGACTTGACTTTGAGCTTATTTTGCTGGCTAAATCGTCATCAATCAGTTCCACAAGGCCAGTCACAATCCTGCGTTATAAACTGATTCTTTCTAACTTATCTTGGTCCTCCGGACACAATAGATCTGCTCTGGTTTTACCATGTTTCTTTTTAAAAATTGCCATTGGAGAAAGGCTTGCTAGCATAGTTAGCAGTTAGCAAAGTGTATTCTTTGAAAACCGCGACAGGTTCTTGTCATAAAAACTCCTTTGATTGGACCTCAGTGAAACAATATGTTGTTGTCCAGCCCATTTTAAACACTCGGCACTCACTCTACACTTTTCTTTTCTTTGATAAACACGTTTTACAGACGAGTTCGTAGGGCAAAGTAAAAATAAAAGCATAGAAGAAGAAATTACTTCTTCTCCACTGGCCTGTAATACACACCAGAGCCTGGTTCTGCTGGAGGTTTCTTCCTGTTAAAGGGAGTTTTCCTTTCCACTGTCTCCACTGTGCTTGCTCAGGATGGGAGACTGCAACGAAGCCAAGATTCAACTTGTCTGCTGGATTCCTTTGATACAGAACTTTACTAATTGGCTTTTATGTGAATGTTCCTGTAAAGTGCCCTGAGACAACTTTGTTGTGATTTGGTGATATAGAAATCAACTGAATTTAATTGTTCTGTTTAGTGTTGAGTTGGCATTCATGTTCAGGTTGTTGTTAGTGACTGTAAAAACATGACATCATTCATTAGAGGTTGTACCAGATGGATGAAAATTACTTTGGAGCAAGTTCTTGTTCCAGTGTTTCTCCTACCATTATACAAGCAGGGTGCCCCACCCTGTCAACAGAACTGATCACCCCACCTACAGAACCACTAGCTCAAAAACTAAAGGCAGCACTTATTCTGCCTGTTCCCTCAGGCTACCCCCCCCCCCCTGCAGCGCACGCTTGTACAAAGAGTGCACATCTCAGACATGTCTCCGTCTTGAACTTCAGCATGTTTTAGCATTTCACTTTCTCACTGAAGGCCCAGCTCTTATAGTCACAGTTCGCCACTGGTATTCAGTATTGATAGGGAGCGATTCATATTTTTCACCTGAGAACTTGGTGTTGTAATCCACTCACATGCTTGTTTCCATGGAAACCTTTCTCTGTTGGTGTTCAGAGTGGAGGTCTGGTGTCGGAGGTCATCTTATCCTGTCGGATGAAGATTTAACGTCTGTGGTTCAGGGCAGCTGGAAACGCCTGAACACCCTGCAGCATTACAAGGTGAGAATAGGAAACCTCAGTCAGCTAGAGGACACCAGAATCTGAGATCAAATGCCGTCTCTGCTCCTTATCAGGTCCCAGATGGTGCTACAGTAGCTCTTGTTTCTCGCCACACCAAAAGTATCCACCACGACAACCACGACTACATGGCTGGAGAAAGTGAGTTCCTCTGCTGTTGTGTTCATGATGTTTGAGTGTGAAGTTGGGCAGGGAGCAGTGGTCTGCTGGGTCCTGAACCCTATGAATGTTCGAGCAGAGACTCCGATGCTGGAGGACGCCGATGAAGGAGGAGTGAAGCTGTGGCACCTGGTGAAAGCCAGCGAGGAGCCTGAGCTGCCCAAACACCGCCGAGGGAGCCTGAGGGAGAGGGCCAAGGCCATCCCCGAGATCTACCTGACCCGCCTGCTCTCCATGAAGGTACACACAGCTGGCAGGTTAACGAGCCTTTAGCTGAAGAGCACATCTAATCTGATGCAAACGCTAAAGACAATAAAACTGAGATGTGTTGTGGGAGACCAGTTTCTCTCTGCATGTTCGTTTGATCAGACAGGTACTGCTCCGGAGACTTCACCTTAGTTTAAGAGGATTTATTTTACACAGTGTTAAAGCACAAGACAGAACAAAAAAACAAAATGCATTTCGGGAGACAATGGAAGTATACTTCACCTGAGAAGATGCTCTGCTCAACATTGTCTGATGCTACTTCCTGTTGTAGGATAATATAAACCCGTCATGAACCCGCCCCCCTCTCAGAGGGGGCTCTTCCTCTATTGGGTGAGCCTCTAATCAATCTAAGGTTACCATGGCAACCACACAGTCATATCTCTTATCTTTCAAGTAAAAACTAGTTTTAACTGGCTTTTGGTGTCAGTCTAGAAAGTTACTTTTGTTCTTTGTTTCTGTCTACAGAAAAACAAGTTAGTCGCCTCTCCTTCCAGTGCTGTAGGCTGCTACATGAAAACAAGTATTCCACCTCTGTGATAAAGTATAAGTGATAACAGTTTATAAAGAACACAGAAATAGATATACGATGTGAATAAAGTATAAAATATAAAACTATATAATAAGTGAACACAGTGTACAGAATAAAGTGAATAACACAACCAGTCTATTCATCAGATGAAAGCTAAATGTAGCAAAAAGCTAGCTAAAGGCTAAAAGTATCATAACACTTACTACAAATAGCAAAAGGTTAGCTAACAACTATAAGTAACTAAACTTTAGCTAAAAGTAGCAAAATGCTAGCTAAAAATTAAAAATAGCAAAATGCTATCAAAAAAGCAAAACACTAACAATAAAAGGAGCAAAACACTAGCTAAAAAACAAAACATTCGCTAAGCACTAAAAGAGGAATGCTAGATAAAAATAGCTGTTTTTTTTTCTAAAAGCTTAAAACAACAATTTGCTAACTAAAAGCAAAAAGTTGTAAAACCATAGGTAAAAGTGGCAAATGGCTAGCTAAAACCCAAAAGTAGCAAAAAGCTAGCTAAACACTACAATAAATATAAAAATAGTTAAAAGTAAGTTTACCAGACTCTGAGCTTTTCAATTCAATTTGATTTGATTCCAATTCATTTCAATTAAAAATACTTTATTATTCCCAGAGGTAAATTAAATGTTGTAACTCATCATCCTGGGTTCATTAAAGAGTTGTTCTAGATGCTGATGCTGTGGGCAGGAAGGATCTCTTGTAGCGTCTGTCCTACAGCTGATCTGAAGAAGCCTCTGGCTGAAGACACTCTGTTATTGTATGACACTCTGTTGTTGTATGACAGTCTGTTGTTGTATGACACTCTGTTGTTGTATGACAGTCTGTTGTTGTATGACACTCTGTTGTTGTATGACAGTCTGTTGTTGTATGACAGTCTGTTGTTGTATGACAGTCTGTTGTTGTATGATAGTCTGTTGTTGTATGATAGTCTGTTGTTGTATGACAGTCTGTTGTTGTATGACAGTCTGTTGTTGTATGACAGTCTGATGAAGAGGATGCTGAGGTTGTTTATAATGTTCTTCATTTTATGAAGAATCCTTCTTTGAACAATCATCTCCAGAGGTTCTAGAGGAGTCCCCAGAACTGAGCCAGCCTTCTTTATGAGCTTGTTGATCTTTTTTTAAGTCTCTTGCTCTGGTGCTGCTCCCCCAGCAGATGATGCAGAAGAGACAGCACTCTCTACAACAGACTTATAGAAGATATGCAGCATCTTGCTGCAAACGTTGAAGGACTTCAGCTTCCTCAAGAAGTACATTCTGCTCTGTCCCTTCTTGTAGACGCTTCACTGTTGCATCTCCAGTCCAGTCTGTTGTCCAGGTGAACCCCAAGATATTTATACTTCTCCACCACCTCCACTTCTTCTCCCATGAAGGAAATAGTGTTGGACCTGTTCCTGTTTCTCCTGAAATCTACAGTCATCTCCTTTGTTTTGTTCACATTCAAGATGAGATGATTGATTCCACACCATGCCACAAAGTGATCCACCAGTTCCCTGTACTCAGCTTCTTGTCCATCTCTGATACACCCGACCACTGCAGAGTCATCTGAATATTTCTGCAGATGACAGGAGTCTGTTTTGTACTTTTAATTAAAATTAACACAACTAGTAGTACTAGAACTAACAGATTAGACAGACATTAGCTATAGTATTAGCAGTACTAGTTATAGCTGTAGAATTAGCATTAGCTGTAGTATTAGTAGTAGTAGCATTAGCTACAATATTAGCAGTAGCTTTATATGTAGCATTAGCTGTAGCTTTAACTGTAGTATTAGTTATACTATTAGAATAGCATAGCAGTAGTATTAGTAGCATTAGCTGTAGTATTTGTAGCAGAAATATGAAGAGAATGTTTCTGAAGGATTTGAAGACATCTTAATTTTAAAAAAATTTTTAAAGAACAAATTTAAATAAAAAAAATCACAGTGCTCATCAAATTAGAGCTTAACGTTTTGATATATGAACAGCTAAAATACAACAAAGTCTACAGAAGTGGTTAGATCCTGAAAATTTTTGAGGAAAAATAAAAAACGCGATAGTGTGATTGCTGAGTCAACATTCTTAAAAAGCATTCTGAGACGGACGGCTGGGATGTAGCATTAGCTACATTACATGCTACTAATGCTATGGTGGGGAGGATGTCATTTTACACAGTTTCTAGTGTGTCCTGATGTTGTGAAGGGCACCGGTTCTTAGAAAACTTGTTTTATTTTTAAACATTCTGAGACTTCACCTCTGTTTCTAATGATTCAGGCCTCTACACTCTGTCCCGTCTATGAACGGTTCTGTGTGAGGGAGGACAGACACCTTCAGTCCATCTGTTTGACCTTTCTTTAGGGGACGCTGCAGAAGTTTGTAGATGACCTGTTCACAGTGATCCTCAGCACCAGCCGACCTGTCCCACTGGCTGTAAAATATTTCTTTGACCTGCTGGATGAGCAGGCGGGACAACACAACATCAGCGACCCAGAGACCATCCACATCTGGAAGACCAACAGGTAGAGTTGGAGAACCAGAGAGGTTGGACTGAAGTGGGTAAATGTGACGCTGAAGGACTCTCTTTGTTCAAACAGCCTCCCTCTGCGGTTCTGGATCAACATCCTGAAGAACCCTCAGTTTATCTTTGACGTCCAGGTGTCGGACCACGTGGACGCCGTGCTGTCTGTCATCGCTCAGACCTTCATGGACTCGTGCACCATTGCAGAGCACAAACTGGGCCGGGTGAGTACCAGCATAAAGGACATACGTCTGGTTAGATTTGTCACATAGAGACACAAACCTGGGACCTCAGGACAAAGAGGCAAAAAAAAAGTGCTGGATGCCCTTTTACACACAAAAGCTCAGACTTATCAAAAATGAAATGATGGAAATTCATTCATTCAACCTTTATTTAAACAGATACGTCACAATGAGCCTCGAAGGCTCATTTACAAGTGAGACCTGTTTGGACGATAAAGTGGTGAAAAATGACACACAGGGTTTGGAGACAAAACAATTCCTATTATATAACCTCTGTTTGAAGGTCAACAGTGTGATAATGAAAAAAAATCTCGCACATGAGCACATAATGATGCCGACATTACACGGAGGGGGGGGGGGGGGGGGGAAAGGACAGTGAGCAGTCAGAGACAACACACAGAGGCACTGCAGAGTTCAGATAAAATCACTCAGTTCACATAGTTCCCTCTGGAGAGATCCGTGCACACTCGGGGGGTGCCGAGGACGACCAGAGATGAATCCAGAGTCCTGAAATGATGACAGAATGTTTATTCAGCTGGGCTCATCTGAAAAGTCCATGGACATTTCTTAGAAGGAGTAGAGGGAGGGGTTAGAGCATCAGGTTTACAAAACTTTCCAGGCAGGTTGAGATTAGATGGCCTGTCAAGGCCAGTCACGGAGCTGAATTCAGATAAACACGATTGTTTTGGGGACAGGCAGAACTTTAATGTCATCTACCTTGAGTCTATGTCGGTCCACTCGGATTCGAAACGTCCAAATTAAATGACCGTACCAGTGGAACGTGCCTGAGAATAATCCCCGAGATCTGATCCATTCTGCCAAGAGTCTGGGTGCTCGAGGCACAAACCAAGACATCATATAAGGCAGGCAGCCTGACCAGGTCCAGATTTGCTGCCCACGACTTCCTTGTTTGTTGAAAGACCAGGAACCAGCCGACTCCAAAAAGCAGGAACCAGCCGAATCCAAAAGCAGGAACCAGTTATCATAAATCCAATTATAAATGTGTCCTTACAATCCACAGATGACAGCAGAGATAGACACGTCATCAAGTCTTCAAAGTCTGAGATATCCAGCTACTTGTGTGCCAACAGGGCAAATTGGCTCACCTGAATCCTGTCTTCTCTTCAAAGAAATGTTATCAATTGTGTTGAGGGACCAACTGATCAAATTCAAGTCCATAGTTATGATTTGGAAGATTTGTAGAAGAGAGACTCTAAAGCAGTTTCACAGACAGACAGAGCAAAAGCAAAGTGGAGAGGGAGAGGAGGAGACGTCCGCCCTTGAGAAGAGCAAGTGTTGAATGATTGCAGCCCCTCACCAACAGGTTCTGGGTGTGGCAAAGATTAAATGTCAGCATTTTAATTGGCAGATTTATCCACACTTTTCATTTGTTTATCTAATATTTCAAATACAAAAAAATTATTATAATGCAAACTAAAAATTGTTCTGTTTGACCAGATTTTTTAAACTCAAACACAGTATTTTAAGTACAAGAAAAATAAGTTTGTAAACTTGAACCCATTCGTGAGTAACGTGACAATATAGGTCCAACAAAGTTAAGTCAGGTCCTCTGGATGGTTTCTTTTTGTTGAAACGTTTTGTCTATCATCCAGAAGACTTCATCAGTCCGAGGAGCCACAACAAACTCAGTCTTATAAACAGCAGCCTCCTATAGTGGGTCAACTAGTTTCAAATGGTTCCTGGAGTCTGCCCTCTCCCCCACCAAAATAAATCGTCCAGAGGACCTGATGTACTGTAATGTTGTTGGATTTTCTACCTGGATTATTGAGCATGAATCAGGAAGACAGTATAGATGTTTGTTAATGTATAAGTAGACTAGTCAACTAGTCGATTCTAGGGTATATCGCAGGTTTTTATATTTGTGTCAACTAGCCCCCCCCCCCCCCCCCCCAAAAAAAAAATCCATCTGGAGCTAAAATTCCAGATGGATGCCAGTGACCCAGCTAACTGAAGCTTTCCAGCCACTGCATCAGCGGACGTGCGCGGCTGTGCAGGGTCGAGCTCTGTTGTTTAAAAGAGGGACAGAAAAGACCTAAAGTACTGCTACTGCTAAATGCTGCTAGTTTCAAAACTACTGGAGAAAATAGTTGAGTCCCAGTTGAAGTGCTTCCTGGAGGGTCACGCCATCTTAGAGCTATTCCAGTCTGGCTTTAAATCTCTCCACAGCACTGAAACTGCCCTGCTGAAGGTCTTTAACGACATCTTCAGATCCACAGATACCGGTGATTCTGTGCTGTTTGTCCTGTTGGACCTCACAGCCGCCTTTGACACCATCGACCATGAGATCCTCATTGCTAGGTTGGAGCAGTGGGTGGGCATCACAGGGTCAGCCCTCAATTGGTTCAGATCTTACTTCACTGACAGATCCTTTTGTGTCTCCATCAAGGACTTTAGTTCTGCAGCGGCAGAGCTTTAAATGGGGGGTTCCGCAGGGGTCCATCCTGGGTCCCCTCCTATTCTCTTTATACCTGTTGCCCCTTGGTGCTATTTTCCGGAAACACAACATACCCTTCCACTTTTACGCCGATGACTGTCAAATGTACTTCCCTTTAAGACACAATGGTACATGCTCTATTCAACCGCTGCTCGACTGCCTGGCTGACATCAGGGACTGGATGGCTTTAAATTTCTTGAGTTTCAATGAAAACAAGTCTGAAGTCATGTTGTTCCCTCCCAACGACACGATCACAAACCACTGCATCGACCTCTCCGCTCTAACCCTGTCAGAAAAACAAAGAGTCACTAATCTGGGCGTGATAACGGACCCTTCCCTGAAACTTAACAATCATGTAAACATGATTGTTAAATCATGTTTCTTCCAACTGAGGCGACTGTCTAAACTGAAGCCCATATTGTCCAAAAAGAACCTGGAGACAGTAATACATGCATTCATTACATCTAGGCATGATTACTGCAATTCACTCCTGTTTGGTATCAGTCAGACCTCCATTGCACGACTACAACTGGTCCAGAATGCAGCAGCCCCATTTTTAACCAGTACAGGCAAAAGAGAGCACATTACACCAGTTTTGGCCTCACTGCACTGGTTACTGGTTCACTTTCGAATCCAGTTCAAAATACTCATGTACGTCTACAAATCACTGAACAGTTTTGCCCACCCCCCATCTCTCTGATCTGCTACAACCGTATGTCCCACCACATTCCCTGAGGTCAGCAGACCAGTTGCTCCTCACAGTTCCAGGAACTCATCTTAAGCGCAGAGGTGACAGGGACTTCTCTGTAGCAGTACCAAGAGTTTGGAACGAGTTACCTCTGCTTGTCAGACCGGCCCCCTTCCTCTCGGTTTTCAAGTCCCGTTTAAAAACCCACTACTATTCGGTAGCTTTCAACACCAGATTTATTTATTCATTCATTCATTTCATCCTGATGCATGCTCAATAATCCAGGTAGAAAAATCTAAAAAAGTTAAATCTGGTCCTCTGGACATTCAAAAAAACAAAACAAAGCAAATCAACAAAAAAATGTAGAAACGTTTCGTCTCTCATCCGAGAGACTTCCTCAGTCTGAGGTGCTGTTTTTAGCTCAGTCTCTTAAATAGCACCGTCTCAGGGTGGATCAAGAAAAAGTTAATAGATTGCCTGAAAAGTTTGGAGCAGGACAAGGCTATTGACCGTTTTCTGTACCACAGACTGTACCCAGGGGAGGCCACACCTAGTCTGTATGGTTTACCTAAAATCCACAAACAGGGTGTACCTTTAAGACCTATTGTTAGCATGATTAACTCTGTCACTTACAATGTTTCCAAATATCTGGCGTCTGTACTCATCCCTTTAGTTGGCAGCTCAGAACACCACATACAGAACACCATGGACTTTGTGGACAAGGTGAGGGATGTCATCATGGAGACTGATGAAACAATGGTCTCTTTTGATGTCACATCACTCTTTACGTGCATTCCTGTTGATGATGCAGTAGAGGTGGTCAGTTTAAGATTAAAATCAGACACCACTCTGAGCAGCAGGACCACGCTTTCCACAGAACAACTGTGTCAACTCTTGAAACTGTGCCTGCAGTCAACCTACTTCACATATGGGGAGCAATATTATAGGCAGAAACATGGGTGTGCTATGGGGTCTCCAGTTTCTCCTATTGTTGCCAACCTGTACATGGAGGAGGTAGAAAAGAGAGCCTTGACGTCCTTTTCAGGGACACCACCAAGTCATTGGTTCAGGTATGTTGACGACACCTGGGTTAAAATTAAATCTCAGGAAGTCCAACATTTTACTGACCACATCAACTCTGTGGATAAATACATCAAGTTCACACGAGAAGATGTAAAAAATGGCAGGTTGGCTTTCTTGGACTGTGAGGTCTCAGTCTCTGATAGAGGACATTTGCAAACTGAGGTGTACCGCAAACCCACCCACACAGACCAGTATTTGCAGTTTGACTCCCATCACCCTTTGGAGCACAAGTTAGGAGTCATCAGGACTCTGTACCACAGAGCAGACAGCGTCCCCACTAGCTCAGGAGCCAGGCAGAAGGAGAAATCCTACACAAAACAGGTTCTAGAGCAATGTGGATATCCTAACTGGGCCTTCCTAAAAGCAGAGAAGAAACCCAAACAGGACTCCAGTCAGCCATCAGGTGAAAAGGAGGAACCCAGACCCAGACCAGTGGTCATTCCGTATGTTGAGGGAGTATCAGAGAAACTGAGACATTTATTTTCTAAACATAACGTCCCAGTGGCTTTTAAACCCCAAAATACATTAAAGACTGGTTCATCCCAAAGATCCAGTCCCCCGGCACAAACAGAGTAATGTTGTGTATGCTGTTCAGTGTCAGGAGGGTGATCAGTCTTACATCGGGGAAACAAAACAGCCACTGGCCAAAAGGATGGACCAGCACAGAAGATCAACATCATCAGGCCAGGACTCTGAGGTCTACACTCATCTCCAGGCCAGAGGTCACTCTTTCAGGGATGAAGATGTTCACATCCT